CATTTTATTCATTTTTGTTTTTGTTTTAAATATTTCTATTTAGCTTTAATCTTTATTTCAGTTAGTTGCCAAGCCAACATTTCTCATTTTCAGGATTTGTTATGTTTTTCATATAATATTTATATATATTTTTTTATTTTATTTAAACTTTATTTCAATGAAAGGAAAAATTTTTTGATAGTTTTAGTTAACAAGAACAACGCTGCTCCTCTGAGAAAACGCCCCCTACTCTAGACATTAATGAAATAATCATATACAGTCTTCACACTCCCTCAAGATTTTGATGGTTGTTAACGCTGTTCCCTGTTGACCCGAGAGGCTATTTCAGAGCCTTGACAAGTATCATGAAATGGCACAGTATCAAGCCAGGAGATGTTATGTCAGGTCCAAAATTAAATACGAGGGGAAACCCTTGAATGTGAGATCAAGTAATTCATAGATCCTTGAATGGTTGTGCTTTTAAATGGGTGTATGATAAACCTGAAGATGAGTTTTCTAATGTCAGATCAATGCTAGAACTGAAAAACGTTGGATACGATAAATCTGGTTGGCTGTCATGTCCAATATTGATCTGTTTGTATTTATAGTGACAGATAAATGGGTCTTTGCTGCATCATGCGTCTCACTGTAAGTACAAAAGATGCTACCTCTCTCTCCATGTCTCTTTCTCCCTCACTCTCTCGGTGAGATTACTGTTCCCATGGCAACACAGCAGATTGCTTGGAGATTGCTATGGTTGTGGGCACCATGGTAACGCATTTTATATGCTGGTGGGTCTCTCTCTCCCTCTCTCTTTCACACACTTCCTCTCACGTTCATTCTATCTGTTGGCAGTTTGGGGTTGTACATACCTTCTTGTGTCAGGACTCAGCACAGACTTCCCTAATACACCGATTTGGGAATTGATGGTGTGCGAGTCTGTATGAGTCTGTAGGTTAAACGGATCAGATGTGCACGTAACTATTGCAGTAACTACTGCAGTTTCTATATGTGAGTTTTAGTACACTCTTAGAAAAAAAAGGTTCATTGGGGTTCTATATAGAACCCTAGGGTTCTTTACTCTACTTTTTTTTTTAATGAAAAAAAGGCTTATGAATTAAAAAACAATACTGATACATATCAGAAACATGTGGACTTACCAGGTTCGCCATCTTTCATGGGTTACAGAATTGGGGAAAGTAAAAAAAAAAAAAAAAAGTATATATAGATATAGACTGCATGGTTTATAGGAGAAAGTGGGGTAAATACTTGACATTTATTGAAGGTGAAGGATAATAACCTGGTCGTGAGATGCAAAATAAGAGTGTCATTAATATACTATTTGGTGACACTTTAATTTTATTTATTTACCTAATATTTTTTGCAAGTTAACTTCCAATTTATTTATTTATGCAAGTTAACGTTCAGTTTTTTTTAAATATATATATATATATATGACTGACAGATGTTGGATGGGTGAGTAAGGGGGAGGGGGTTTGATAAAACTGAATGTACTGTTTTGTCAATTTAAGATAAAAAGAATAAAAAGTATGAATAAAAAAGAAATATGGATTTAACTGTTGGACTGTGAATTGCTGTGTGTTATATATTGCTTGTGTGATTGTAAATGCTAATAAAAGTGTCTTAAATAACCACATAATACTTTGATGTGTTATTCTTATGGTAATTTCAGTTTTCCTAGTGATAAAGTATCTATATGAGCTGTTAAAGTCATAAAATTTTATTAAAATAAAACAAAAACTAAATCCATAAATTGATCCCATGATGGGAACCCCTAAAGGGTTCTATATAGAACCTTTTCTTCTGAGTGTAGTGTTAATATAACAAAAAAGTACTATAGCAGTCTTATGATACTTTATATATACCACGCTAACAAATATATCTTGGTATTTAAATACATGTCCAAAACCTGTTGTAAGTTCTGTTTTAAAAGATACTATACTTTTGGAGGCTCCTGTGCCAGACGAGTGAATGTAATTGATATGCTAACGGTTAGCTTTCTCCAGATGTTATAGACCTCCTCCCAGAAGCCCATTTTTTGATGTTAGCTTCTGTATGTATAGATGTACAACATTGCTTTACAGTCTTCCATTGTATTGTACGTGCATGAGACATACTCACAATTTGTTTGGTCATTCTGCTCTCTAGCCCCTCTCTGCATATTTCTCTTTCATTCTCTCTTGTTTAGAGCAGATATTTATTTCTTGTGTGGTGAGTCGTTTTCATGAGGCCTATTGTTGTCATGGCAACAACAGCCCACAGATGGAGGCAAGAGAGCGAGGAGTGCACCAGAGAGTTTTCACTGGCTCTGACACAAAACTTGTTGACACACATACATGAAGCTCATGCTATGAGGAAAATCTGTGCACGTATCAGCGCTCAAGGGCACAAACACACACACACCTGACTACAGACTGATTTGCAGTCACTGTCTAAATTGGGTCAGTTCTTCTACGTCATAAAATTTACACCCAGATGCAAGAAAAGGGAAACGACTTGTCCATGCGATTCTGTTTCATGAAGTTTTACTGCTGATGTCCTTTATTACTGTGGGGATATTTATGCTCTGTGTTTGACACAGTAGGGTGAATTAATGGAAAAGTGTCTCCATCTAAACACCTTTCCTTCTATTGGGAACACTGGGGCTGGTTGTCATACATAATATTGGTCAGGGTATGTTTATTTCTATGAAAATCAATTTCTGAACATCTTGGCTACAGAAAAGCTTTTGAACATTTCCACTATCATTGCCAAGGAAAAACAGATACAGATCATTTCACAGATTTATTATAAAATAACAATTCATGAAATAGCAAAAGTGTAAAAGGCAATGTACAAAAATATTATTATTTTGGTTAAAAAAAAATTGTATTAACTTACAACATGTACATTTAATAATTATGAAGAAAAAAAAATGTTGTCTTCCACTCACATACTTTTCCACTTTTTAGTATTTTTGGTTACATTTGGTTTATAGTCAATCAATGAAACTATAATTCACTATAAAATATTAATAAGTATATATTTATATAATAATATATAAATATATTTGACTCTTGTCTGTATGTATGTTACTGTTAGTGATTTTGTTTATTATATATATATATATATATATATATATATAGTTTTATTGCTTTTATTACAAATACAGCTAAAACAGCTAAAAATAGAGCTATACTAAAAATATGGCTCACACTTTAGTTTGGGGACCAATTCTCACTTTTAACTAACTATTAACTACTACTGCCTCACTAAAATCCTAATTTGCTGCTTATTAATAGTTAGTAAGGTACTTGTTAAGTTTTGGTATTGTGTAGGATTAAGGAATCTAGAATATGGTCATGCAGAATAAGGCATTAATATGTGCTTTATAAGTACTAATAAACAGCCAATATGCATGTTAATAAGCAACTTGTTAATAGTGAGAATTGGTCCCTAAACTAAAGTGTTACCAAAATATGATATTGAAATTTTAGTTCGGAGGAAACCAAAAATCACTGCTATAAAAAAAGACATTTGTGTAATATATTGCTCTAATACTACTCGCCGTGGTCTCCCATAAAATGTATTGTATAATGTTACTGATGGGTTTTATTATTGTCTTTGTCTTTATATTTATATTCATATATTATAAATCTTCATTTCTTTTTCGTCCTATTATGAATTCATATGTACATATCATGTATATGCCAAATGCTGGAACTGTGGCCGAGAATACTAAGAAATCAAGTGCTAAGTTAGATCTCAAGGGCAACAAGAAGAACAACACAATATAAGAATGCTAAAACATTGCTGATGCAGTTCAGATGTCTAAGTGCTAGATGAGGTCAGTAAAGACGAGTCACTAGACACAGACAGTCCATTAAGTACTGCCCAAATTTATCTGTGGAGTAGGTTAGTGACACGAAAGAGGTTAATTACAACTGAGGTTAATTACAACTCGACCGAAAGTATTTTGTATGAACTTGAAGGGGTTATTTGACTAAATCTGGTGGGCCAGTGAGGAGGAGGAATCAAATTTAAACTCTGATTAGATGGCAATGCAGGGTGATCTGATGTTGATAGAAAAAATTAAAGGACCAAATACTGAGCCATGAGGCACTCCAGGGTTGAGGGCCAGCAAATTAGGCTTTTTTTTTTGCTAACTTTGTATGATCTGTTCACGTAGCAAATAAACCAGTAAATTAGTTAACACTGTCCACACTGAAATGAACAGTTTGTGGCTGAACATGTCAAAAACTATCTAAGGCAATGTAGTCAAGATGCTCTGGTTCTTAAGATTGCGTGACAAGGATTAATTCCTAAGTGATGGAGGTCAAGCATGCTGTTTTTGGAAAAAACTTGACATTTGGATGAAACTATTCATTATGCAGTGCTTGCTGTCTCATCCACAGCATCCATTCCAAGCAAATACAAAGCCAAATTGTTTCAAGATGCAGCAAACTGGTTTATAATTATAATATTGAAATATGCTACTTTCAAGTAAAAAGTTGCTGTTAATGTGTTCTTGGATGACTGACTAAAAGCTAGGATATCGGTTATTAGATCTGATATGTAATATCACTCTGTAATAAATGTTTTTCCCTGGATTATTATATTTTATTGGGTTCATGACTACTGTATTTTGTTAAGGTTAAAGCCATACCCGCTCCTCAAGACTCTCCAACTGGGTGGATTTAAAAGTCATAATAGTGGTTTTGTGACCAGGAGGCTGCCAGATTCACATTTGCCATTGTGAATATAATTTGCTATAGCCTCTAGCAACAAACCTGCTTTCCTGCATTATAAATGTGTGTGGACATATGCGGATAGTGTGCAGGAACCCATATACTAGGTACACCAGAAAGCCATGTAAAATGCTGACATTGAGGGATCCTGTAAATTGCTTCGACTCGTTCTGAAAATATCTGTGCTATACAGGTTTAAGCGAGGAAGGTGCCTTTGTGTTAATAATCACCAAATGTGTTTGGTCTGATATATTCACTCTGTTTTCTCTTCAGGTACCTCATGAATGTGACATTTGAAGGGCGCAACCTCTCCTTCAGTGAGGATGGTTTTCAGATGCACCCAAAGTTGGTTATTATACTGTTAAATAAGGAGAGGCAGTATGAAAGGGTGGGTATCTTTCCTCATTTCTCTCTTTTGCCTCTGGATTTCTCTTAACTCATGACTGTGCAGTTCCCTGATGTAATTATCAACCTTCATTTACTCTATATATTTCTTTATCTTAATTCAAGATTTCAGCCATCCTCAAATTTAGCCTGCTCTAATCCAATCGCAGCCACTTCAGCCTCAACACCCTCTCATTATCTCACTCGTTATCCTTCTCTCATCTTCTGCTCTCATCTTGCCCTCTTTACACTTTCGCAGGTCGGTAAATGGGAGAATGGGTCTCTGACAATGAAGTACCACGTGTGGCCACGGTTTGAGATCTACTCGGATGCTGAGGAGCGGGAGGACGACCACCTGTCCATTGTTACGCTGGAGGAGGCTCCATTTGTTATTGTGGAGGATGTTGACCCCCTCAGTGGCACCTGCATGAGAAATACAGTGCCGTGCAGAAAACAGCTCAAACTCCTGTGAGGATCCAATAGGAACAGATATTCAGTACAGATATTCAGAAAATGTGCTGCAGTTTGGTTCAAAATTCAGATTTGTCTCAGATTTCACAGCAGATGTTATAAGTTGTAGACTGAAAATGTTACAAAATGAATACAGTGAAGTCCAAAAAATTGGACAATGAAAATATTTAAACCTGGAAATAAACAGAAGGTTGTAGTAGGATTTTTAAAAATTCCAAATACTAAGAGACCAAATAGACCAAATTAGAAAAGTGAAAAATAAAGTTTTTTCGGTGGTCTCAGGCATACCACACCGTCTGTATGTCTGTGAAGATTTGCTTAACCATATTGCTTAACCATATCCAAGATGGATAAAGCTGCATACTATAGGTAAAATATCTTAAATCTGCTATCTAAAATCAGTCATTGCATGAGATCAATATGAGACCAGTCATTAATCTTGACTGCCAAAATGCAGATTTGTCTCATGAGAGCACTAAGTACAGATCCTCCATTCAGTTTTCAAGTTCAAGGTGTTCTGTCACTGTCAGGTCTAGATTATATCATATAGTAAGAAAGTGTGGTGTATACAGTATTGTACTATTAATGTAAAACACAGATTTATTTATGGATTAAACTGGTACCTCATGTCTCTTTTTAATATTGATTATAAAATATCTCTGTTAAATTAGTGTTAAATTCATTTAGCATTCTTTTAATAAAGTATTGCTAAAACACTCATTTATTATGAGAAATGATCTGGGATTAAAGTGAATTTTGACAAATTTAAGTCTCTGGTTCCAATGTAGTCAATGCAATAGTCAGTGCAGTGGTCATTAATCATTTTGATGTTACGTTGACTCATTGATTGATTTTTCAGATGCAGATTTATTATGAAATGATATTTTGATTAAGGATTGATGAACAGCTATAAGGCAAAATTTGTTAAACGCTGTCTTCAGTATTTAGAAAAATAACGTCCTGTGCTAACATTAATCTTCTCAACTTTTTCTTCCTGTTTTCCTATTTCTAGAAATCAGACAAGAGATTCAGGGATCTACATTAAACGTTGTTGCAAGGGCTTCTGTATAGACATCCTCAAAAAGATTGCCAAGTCTGTAAAATTCACCTACGATCTCTACCTGGTGACCAATGGGAAGCACGGCAAAAAGATAAACGGCACATGGAATGGCATGGTTGGAGAGGTTAGTTTCAAAATGCTTTTAGTAAAAAACCTCTGGTTCCCTTTCAGTCAGTCACTCCGAGTCACGTTGGTGACCGACGAATTGGGATCTCACTTAGAGAGACCAATCCACTTCGAGTGTAAACTAAACGAGCCAATGCACATTGGCATGCGATGATTGCATCCAGCTGCCGCTGATCACAGCGTGAGCATAAAAAGGCAGCCAGTGCAATGCATACCAGCTTTTCGCTTCGGAGCCAAGCGACATCATCGTTCTGCTCCTACCAAACTGCTTCGTGTGTGACAAGTCTTGCGCGCTCTCGGGAGCTTTTTGTGTTGGCAGACGGCGCTTCAGCAGTGGTCGTTCCTGTGTTGAGTGGGTTGCGCAGTCACAAGCTGCCCGAGTTGGGTCCCTGCGTTCCACCTTGCTGCCCCAATGTGGGTACGGGGGTGGTTCTGCTGGTCCCGCTTGCACGGTATCTGGGTGCCTGGCTAGCGCTATCCATACCGGGCCCTTCGCCAGTTACCGTCCAAGATGTTGATGCGGAAATGCATCTTCGGGTGCATCTGTCCCCGAGATTGGTTTGCAGCAATCGACCTGATGCGTACTTTCATGTGTCGATCCTTCCGCGCCGCAGACCATTTCTGCGGCTCCCGTTCTCAAG